GATAGTGAGAAGTTAATGAAACCAACCCCATACAGAGAAGGAGTTTTCAAGATGGCATTTTGATTTTATCTTATCTCCCAGTGATTTCCAGAACTAACATTTTTAAAGAGAATATTAGTTGTTGTGGTTCATATCACTGATCCATGTTTGTTTGAGTACTAAAATGAATTTCTTGTTGTAAAGGGCAAGTATGGTTTCTTTATTGGTAGGTTGCTCTTAAGAGACATGATAGATAAGGACCCTCTCTTATATAACATACAGTGTAAGTAATGGAGCATAATTTATATTAAATGTGATTAAAATTTTTGAGGATATTGTATTCCCTGCTTACTGATATGTAATCGTCTTGTTAGATTGAACTTGGAAATTTACTCTGGTAGAAATTATCTTTTACCTTTAGATATAATAGTTTAAAATAGAGTAAGTAGTTAATGGTCTGGAGTCATTTGTACAATAAATGTCAGAAATTATTAGCTCAGTTATTACTTGTAGCACAGAAACAGGTGTATTACATCTGCTTTAGAAAAGAGTGTTGTATAAAAACTGTTGTGCATAAAAACTGTATATTAATACATATTGATCTCAGGATAGGTATTTCCCTTAATTATCAGATGAAATGATAATGTGTTTCTGGGCATTAAACCCTGATACTTAAATGCATGGAATCCAGACTCTTGATGAGCTGTATGTGTATAATTCCATTTCATTGTTGGGCTGCTGCACTAAGTGTTAGTTCAACTTACGATGTAACTGAAAACATATGATTAAGCATCTTTTATTTGGGACTTAGAGCAAGGCACTGAGCCTAATTGTTCTTTGTAGAAGATGCATTTCTTTGAAAGGTAATACAACTCTTCCTGGCCTTAACACTCACAGTTTGCATATTTTACAGTGGATAAGAGCTCAGATTTCAGCAGTTACAGATGGAGAGTAGTCAGATGAAGGAGCCTGCTAAGCATTGCCCTTGTATTTACTCTTTGAAACATTTCACAAATCACAAGTAACGAGCTATATCACTAAGTATAATTTCTGTTTTTAAGCTATAATGTTTATGTAGTTGGAAACATGGAGCTGATAATAGAAAGTTCTTCCATGTTAGCCATTTTCAATGACATGTTGCAATTTCCATCTCTACAGAAACTTAGCCCTTAAAAGTAAACACTGACATCTGCTTCTGTATGCTAATACCTGTGGACAATTATTTTAATCCTATAATTGGGTATAATTCTGTTTGAGCATCAGTTGCTACATGGGCCTGAATTATTCCAATTTATCCACTTTCTGTGTATCAACAAGGAGCCTCACTTTATATCTCTCTATATTCCTCATGTTTCTCAGTTCTGTACCATGATAACATACTAAAGGAAATGGAATGTTGCTTTACAAGTATTCTTTAGTTCTACATCCTATGTCTTTCTGTGTTGATGTATAGCAGAGCTTTACGAAACAGTTCTTATTTTTAGATAGCATTTAAACTTGCCCATAAGACAGTTTATAACAAAGGACAATAAATCAAATAGTGAAAAATAAAAAAATTAGAAAATCTCCAAAGCAACTAATTGAGACTGAGTAGTTAAGTGTTTGTAATTTTAATACTGATCAGTAGCTTTATGTCTAATCACATTTTATATTAGAACAGTGGTACCTTGGCTCACAAATGCCTCAGTTCACGACCAGATCGGGTCATGAACAAAAATTTCACTCTGCATTGGGTGGCAACCACAATCATGGCCATCTCCCCACCCACCCGAGTGGGGAGATGGCCACGATCATGCTGGGGGGTGGGGGGGGATGACTGAGATCACGCCTGTCTTTCCTGCATGAGTGCGCCAGTGTTGTGCCTGTCTTTCCTGCAGGAGTGCAACTGTGATCTTGGCCATTCCCGCCCCCCAGCACGATTGTACCTGCCTCTCCCCCGAGTGTGCCCGTGTTTGCACCCGTCTCCGCCCCCCCAAGTGCACCTGCGTTCACGCCTGTCTCTCCCCCCTCCCAGTGCACCACGGATGAAGGGTGCATGCAGGGCTTATGGGCACAATCGCAGTCGTGCTGGGGGCGGGTGGGGAGATGGCTGCGCTCGTGCTGGGGGCGGATGGCTGCGATCTTCGTTGTTGTTTGTCACTTTGCTTCACATTTTTCTGATTTAAAAAAAATAGTTACAGAACGGATTAACCTTATTTACATAGAACCTTATGGGGAAATTTGACTTGGCTCACGACCAATTTGGGTCACGACCAGAGTCCTGGAACAGATTAAGTTTGTGAGCCAAGGTACCACTGTACTATGATTGCATTTCTTTTTATCCTGATTTTACCTAAGGATATCCACATCCCCACCCCATCATTCCTTACTGTTTGTGCCTGGGTGCTCCTGTTTAAATGGCATGAACTTGCAGCATTAATTTTATTAATACCACAGTGACACATTTCATAGTAGCTTTTCAGGAAAAGTTGAACTGACACTGGTCGTATAGTATAGTACTATAGTATAGTCAGTATAGTATAATCAATATAGTACTAGACTGTGTAGTGAATATGTATGCATATGTAGTGAATGGTTGATGAGACAAAGATGGCAGAGAAAGCGCCTCCTCTCAATCACGCTATGATAGCTGGGTTCCAACTTGAAAATTTACAGGACCGCTGGAACTGGTGTCACGATATTTAACAATAATCAGACAATCTATGTTTGCACAAGTTTTCAGGGAAATTTGTTTCTCAATGCCAGAAATAGTACTGCAAGAATTGCCATCTTCATTTTCTTACAGTCATCAATAATGTTATTTATAAAAATGGCAAATGCATTTTATAAAATTACAATCATTTGTACATTAAAAAAATTATTGGCATAAGCACAATGCCAAATGTTGCTTATTTATGTTTGATAGAAGTCCTTTCAAGAAGGCAGGAAAGCCCCTAAATGTGTGAATTTTAATCTTACAAAATCTGGGCACTGCTTCTATATACCCTTTTACCTGCTTCTGTGATTCATAAAATGTTAAGAGACATCTTCAGCTAATAACAGAATGTTCCCTACCTGCCTTTCTCACAGTAAAGGCACTGTGAAAATGCCTAAATCTATCAGGTTTGCATTGCAGACCACAAGATTTAGCTTAGCCCTAGTAAAGACAGCCAAAAAGATAGGTTTCTGCTTTGAGGGTATGGAATAGTCGCATGGGTAGTCAGAGAAAAGTATATTCAGAGCGAGGGTATTGCTTCCTTAGGCAATACTTAATACGTAAACATGCCTCTCTCCTTTCATAGCAGCATCAGAAATTTTTCAGGCAAAGCACAGTTCTGACAGAATTGTTAATGAAAGTCCCCCCCAGACCCATTTTGGTTCAGTGCTAATTGGCACCAAGTGAAGAGGAGTATCATTGCCTTTTCCCCTCTTTGTGATGGCTTCTTCTGGGAAGACGTCTTCCTAGGCACTGTTGCCTGGCAGCCATTCACACCTGCCTTACATAAATTACCTCACCCAGAGTAGCTTGACATGGACTTCTCACCTGTTTCTAGGTGGTTGCTGTGCAATTTTTTTGCCATTTTTTTTTAAAGAGAAGAAAAAAAATGTATGAAATCGTATATATTTCTAGGGTGGTAGGAAGAGTTCATTTTACTTCACATCACTGTAAACTTTACATTGGTTCTCCTCTGACAGTATCTGTATGTTGTACACCTTTTCTTATTTTCCCTGCCCTCATCACTTCCCTCTTTTTCTTAGCTGTTGTCTTTTTCCTGGAACCTCAAAAAATCACAGTTGGGGTAGTTATTACTTTGGCCGCAGGAAATTATGCCACTGTGTTCCTAATTTTTAAAGTTTGTTTAAAAATTTGGTCAGTCTTTCACAAGTGCACTTTTACAGCTGTCTAGCATGTGTAGCCTCGCCTGCTTGATTTCATTTTATGTTTCAGCAGAGTGGGGGAGCCAATATTTCTCCTTTCAGACTGGCTAGAGAGTTGGGGGAGTATTGAAAAGATGGAAAACACTGAGAAGTATCAGTTCAACACTTAAATGTGAGAGGACTACATTGCTAACTGGGCAATATTGTTCCCTTGCTGTTGGTGCACCATTTTGCCAATTCCCCCATTTCTGTGGTGCTTTTCAGTTCACAATTTGGTAATAGGTAAGTGGCAAGTGTGCACCTATTAGCCTATATGCAGTTCCATTAATCATTTTCCCTGAATGCTACCTATTATACTCTGTGGCTCCTTTTTACAGCTGACTTATGTAAGAAAATTGATCAGGCAAGACTGCTCGTATCTGAGAGTAGTAAGAACACATTTATGAAAAATTGGCAACTTCACTAGACTGAAACAAAACAAAGCACAAATTTATGCACATCGTTTTCTGGAGCTGAGAGAAAGAAAATAGCAAACCAGTGTGGTCATTCCAAACTGCCACTTGGGCTTTGATGGATGGGTTCTTACCATCATAAAGTATACCATCATAAAAGTAGCAGGGGAGTTTGCTGCTTTTTAAAGAACAACTTATTAGCTGCTCCCTGCAACTCATGATGAAACTCCTCTACTGAGCTTGGAGAACACAAGCTGTTGTGGATCAACCACACTCTAGAAAAAGCCATGGGGTGCCAGGGAGCCTTGTTGCCAAAAGCTACACCGGCCTGTGAAAAGTGATCTGTGTTTGCATGACACTTCAGTGGGCTGTCATAGCGTATGTATTCAGTGTCTGTATTGTACTTCAGCAGATGATAACAGCAACAGCTTGCTCAAACCTTCATGAATAGCTGGAATGAAGGTTTTTGTCAGTGGTCCTATCAGTGGCATAAATGCCTATGTCAAGACTGCTGAGTAGCTTTTCTGTTGACTTCATAGTCTGCAGTTTGATACAGAGAAGACAAGATGTGTGACTACAGGAAAATTGATTGGAATGAAGAAAGCAGGAGGCATAATTGATGGCGTAAATTTAAAGAGGTTTTGTCTTGTGAATAGTGTTCTGATAGTGTCAGATGCACATCATGTATTAACCTGGTTTGTATTTGTCCAGCTGCACTTCAAGCCCTAAAACGAAAGAAGAGGTATGAAAAACAGCTTGCACAAATAGATGGCACCTTATCCACAATCGAGTTCCAGAGAGAAGCCCTGGAAAATGCCAACACGAACACTGAAGTGCTCAAGAATATGAGCTTTGCTGCTAAAGCCATGAAAGCGGCCCATGACAACATGTAAGATACTCTTCCCCATCAATTCATCGAATGTACCAGCTTTTTACAGGATGCAACATAACAGAATAGGTTTTACACAGGTTGGAAATAGATGATTTAAAAAACAAATTTGAATTTAAATAAATAAATGGGATGGTCATTTTCTCTAACATAAAAAACAGCTTATTTATAACTAAGTTTCATCTAATCCTGCATTTACAGTATCATAAAAATGAATTTAATCTACCAATCAAACATGAATATTAATGTCATATCTTGAAAAATGGTTCTGTCTAGCTTAGTTATCAACACTTACTACTAGGAAGTTCTGGGTTTTCTGTTTCTTTGACTAAAGTCATAAGTGCAAATCACAGCTAAGATACGTGTGTGTTCTCTCCTTATTTGGTGGTGGAGTTTGGCCAAACAAAGCAGAGATGTTCATTTTGAAAGAGAGACAATGTTGGAGGTTTTTTTTTTTTAACTAACTTTTTTTCAGTCCAGTAACTATCAAGCCTTGCTTTGGCCTATCAGTCCTGAGCAATTCATTTTTATTTGCTACTTTATTTTTTGTAAGGGCAAGGCTGGGCCAAGACAGAATGAAGCAAGAGGGTACAGCACTGGAAAGGAAAAAGAGAAGACCTGTTCCTTTATGTCTCCTACTAAGGGTACAGTCCTGTCCCAGTTGCATGGGAGGAAGCTGCATTGAACTTAGTGGAACTTATTGCTGAGGAGATGTGTATAGGATTGTGCTGTTAACCTCAAACATAGAAGTAGAAAGTTTCCTATCTTGCAGGTTGATGTTGGTCTGGATCTGTGATTAGTATCTGTGATAGATTCTATTTTTGAGAGTTTGCTCTCTCCATCAAATGATGCAAGTTGGTACATTTTGTTTATTTACTAATACATGATATGGGTCTATGTCAGATTTTCTTGCTTAGGAAATACACATTTTGAAAGGGGAGACTGTTTTAAATCATTTTTTTTGGTGGTTTAAATTGGGCTGCATCTCCAGATGTTTTGCATTTCACCTCCCAGCATTCCTGACCATTGGCCATGCCAGCAGGGCTTTCTGTGAGTTGAACTCCAAATCTTCCCAGCTGGTTAAATATAAAAGCCACTCTATTTCAAAATAAATCACAGGATTTTCTACTGATTTCCAAACTGTTACTATGACTATTATATACAGATAGGTGGCTAAAATCTATTTCTTTTCTTTCAGGGATATTGACAAAGTAGATGAACTAATGCAGGACATTGCAGAACAGCAGGAGTTAGCGGATGAAATTTCAACAGCTATCTCCAAGCCTGTAGGAATTGGTGAAGAGTTTGATGAGGTGAGAGAGAACATTTCAGAATAATTACTGTTAACATGTACTGTGGGCAGTATAGTTACTTAAAAACACAGTGGCCTTTTCTGATTTAAAATACTGAGTGTGTTAGAGCAGTTACAGACTTAGGAACCTTCTGTTTTGAAGATCTAGAGAATTTTGTCTCTGGTACTCTGGCCAGATGTTAGGATCAACAGAGGAATTTAGATATGCAAATAGTTGGCATGTCCTAGATCGCACAGTTATGTGCGGTGGTCATTAAAGCTTCTTTTTGCTGTAGGATTAACAAAGAGTGTTTGCTTGTGTTAGCAACTGTAATTGCTTCTATCTCCTACCATAATAGGATGAATTGATGGCTGAACTAGAGGAACTAGAACAGGAAGAACTGGACAAAAACTTGTTGGAGATCAGTGGTCCTGAGACAGTTCCACTACCCAATGTGCCCTCAATATCTATACCTTCAAAACCAAGTAAGTGTCTGACATTCCTGAGGACACAAATACCTCTAAGATGTAGTGTATAATTTATATGAAATTGTTCCATGAATCATAAGATTCCAGTAGTGCATTCATTTAGAGATAGTTTACTATTATGTGATTGCCTATTTTCCAATTTCAGTTCTGTAGAATCAATGTGTCTCATCCTGCCTTGCTATAGTATGCTATTAAATGGTTATGGTAATTAGTTGAGAGGTACTCACTGATCTTTTAGCAAAATCAGTCCTAATAGGCAAATGCCATGAAACAGTAAAACTTCGTCACATATCTGGCATTCATACCATGCTGTAAAGCAGTGGTAGGCAATGAAATGTCCATGAGTACAGTGTACCCCTGGATATATTTCTTGTTGTCTGCCAAGGTTGTCTGACAACAAGGTTGTCTGCATCCATTAAAAAAGTACATTTTCTTACAGGCAGTCAGGATTACCATGAAATAGGATTCTTTTGGCACTGAAAAAGTGGATTCAAAGAATTGTTTAATGTGTTGGGGCTCAGATCATCCCTCTGCCTTGTACTCAGTCTTCTGGGCAGGTTACTTGTCCTTTGCTTAATTTTGTGGTGTTGTTCAGCATAGTTTCTCAAATTGTCAAATGTACCTAAAACAGTTGCCTACTTCTGCTGTAAAGCCAAGTTATTAAAATCAGAGAACAAACCTTCCTAATTGTCTGTCTCTGATCACATGGACCTTGTGACAACTTTGTGATCTCCTGTTCCATTTACTTAAAAGCTCTCAGTTTGGAGGGAATGCATCTTTTGATTGACTTTCTTTTGGGCTGAGAATAACTTTCTTTTGGAGACAAAGGGATCTGGCTGAATTCTTCCATCCATACTTTATTTGGCTATTACTGTATTTGGCATGAGAATTCATTTAAATGTTAAGAGTTGCATGTGAAGCTTGTTAAAAGTTCTTCCCCAGGATGTTCCTGCATTGTCTAGTAGCATGTATGCATGACTGGGACATCATAAAGCAAGGAACTTTTAAATATTGTGTTCCCTATGTGGATCACCACTGTGGAGCAGGCTAACATGTAAATTAGCTTTATGAAAGTTTATCATAACAAACTTAATGTAATGTAGCATTTACTGTCCTGTCTATCTTCAAAGTGTCTAATTTCATATTGTGGTTGTACTTAATTTAAGATCTTTTGGCAAAATGTTACAACATTTCATTGCTCTAGCTCAAAAGGTTCACTCATGAATTTTATAGCTTATACAGAATTGAATTTGTGCATTGTATGCAATTGAGCACCCAAAGGTCCAGAGCCAAGTACTTAATTGTGTCTGTTGTATCTTTCTGTAGCTAAGAAGAAAGAAGAAGAAGAGGATGATGACATGAAAGAGCTAGAAGCCTGGGCTGAAAACATATAACCATACAAAGTGTCAGCTGGAGAAATAGTCAAGACTTTGGTCACCTGTTGCTACGGGTGCATATTTGGGTGTGAGACATCATTAAGCGCAATGTCTTTATTTCTTTAAGCTGAAAGCTGTGGGAATTGCATTCTACATAGCATGGTTTGAGCAAGGGAAATGATATTTCCAAGGAAAGTTGCCTGTAGTTTAGGAAGTTGAATTACTTTAAATAATAAACCTCATTGGCAAAATTCCAACATTCAGCTTCTGGACTTTGCTAATGCCACTGCTGGATCATCATTTTTAGAATTCTGGCCATTTTGACTCTGACTTGGGATGTAAAGCCTATAACTTAAGTTGATTATAAAATTGTTTGGAGTCTTGTACAGCATTTCAAAAGGAAAAGTCATAAGCTATTCTTGGCTTATTATGCTTAGGTGTACAAATACATTAGCCTTTTAATTTTGTATTTTTATCCATTGGCAGCATTGATATTTCACTCATCACTACACTGAACTTGGTTACTGTTCCCATTTTGATTGGTGAAGTGGATCTGGAATCGTACAGCAATTTTATGATGGAAGTAGATGAAATTTACACTCCAGTTCTAGTTGCACATTTTTCTACATAGCACTTCGATGTTGATTGCTATTTGTGATGAACAGTACCCCATTCAGACACAAACATCAGGATCTTTGGTTTGCACTATATTAAATACTTTGATTTTCATACTTGCCTGATGTCTTTACTGTGCCTTGTATATAATGGATTTCAAGAAGCTTGTTGGGATATTCTTGCAATTTGTACATTGATCTCACAATTCTTTTTGGTACTTCAATTGTTCTTTCTTTGATAAAGCAATGTAGATATACAAGTATTGTTACAGAAGTCATTGGTTATTTTGATGTTTGAATTCTTGGGGTAGGAAATGTATGCAAACGCAGGTAGTTTTGTTGTTAGTTGCAAAGTCGTGCCCGAGCCTTCATGACCCCATGGACAACATTCTTCCAGGCACAGGTACTTTACTCCTAGTTAATAGAAATAGGGAAGTCCAAAGACCTGCCTATTCCTGAAAGCTTACATGTACCATTACATTAACTCATCTGAGTGTAGAACCTTTGCTGCTGAAATTCAAAGCACCACTTAATAACAGCAGTAGAGGAAAAGCCTTCACTGTCTGTTATGAGTATGTGTAGCATATGTATTGCAATTTCCTCGTACAGGAAACTTTTCTCTGAGCATTTGTATAAAAGACAAAAGCAGCAAACATCCCTTTAACAAAATACATTAAATCCGTCTGTTAGCAATTTTAGCAGTGGTAGCAGGAAAAGGTAATCTGAATGATGGCCAAGGCACCTGCCATGCTAATTCTGTCATCTCTAACATGGCAGAACCCTCAGTGAAGGTTTTGCCCAGCTGTAACTGAGGGTTAGATTCCAATGCATTTTATATTTTTAACTATTTTTAGAAATTATGATTTCCAACAAGGTGTGATTTTGGAAAGAAATAAGCATCAAACAAAATACTATAGGGTGTAATACTATACTTTAAGGTAGTATTCCTAAAGGAGATGTCTGCGGATCAACCCTTGTGGAATGCATTTCACAGCATTACTCATTTCCAAGTACTGATATCCGGGTGTGTCCTTTCTATAGCGATATGTTCTGCTACTTAGGACTGTGAGCCCGTCTGATGACGGTAAACTGTTTTACATTAGTGGGCACGTTGGAAATATTGACTGTGTTGTGAGTTCTCTCAGAAAATAGCTGCCATAGAGGGGCATCTTGTCCATTGACAACATAGCTACCATGATGATTTTGTGACTGATCACAAAAACCCATTTCCCAGAAGATTCGTCTTTTGCAGCATACTAGCTTTATAGTTTTAATATCAGGAAGAGATTGACAATTGCCATGCAACATATCTGTGGGCACATTGGCTTCCATTAGAGACCTCAGTGGTATCCTCTTGCACTCCAGTGCAGAAACTAAAAGGCATTGGGATATGCCGTTGAGGTTCCAAAGTAGCCACTATTTTATATGGCTTCCATGAGAAATAGCAATGCAGTTGTCTTTTGTTGAAATCATTTATTTTTTCCTCCTTGGAAAGGTAGCTGTGACACATGACCATGTTCTCCTTTTTTTTACTTGGTGATCCCTTTGTTCCCTTTGCTGATTTGTATTTACAGTAATCCCTATTTTGTCATTAAATCTGAGCAGCTATTGAGATCCCTAAATTCAAAGTCTTTAGAAAATTGGCTAGAGTATCTGAATGAGATTCCTCTGACCCAGAGAACTGTAATAATTCTCATCCATATAATGAATATGTCTCATCCATATAATGAACATTCATCCTATTCCCCTGGAATAAGTCCTAGCATGACATCTGTATATGGCTTACACAGATTCTCTCTCTGGTCCCAGCCAACAATTTTCTTCCCTGTTAAGCTAAAAAACTTTATTTTAATTATAAATATGACAAAATTAATTACCAACATTAAGAGGAAAAGTGCAGTAAAAAATGGAAGAGTGCCTAAGCGCTCACTTACTTGCAAACAGCGTGTGTTGGCTTAAAATAGGCATTAAGGTGTATAACCATTATTCTATTCCTCTTTTCAGTATGCAAGAATAAACAAAACTTTAGAATGTATAGTCGTATTGTTTTTTCCTAAAAAAACCTGCAAGCAGAAATGACAATATTTCTCATTATTAAACATGAATATAGGAACGTAGAAACAAAGCAAGTCAGAAGGGGTCTCCCAGGCCATCTAGTCTGACCCCCTGCTCCAGCTGGCTCTGTTTATGTAATCCCCAACATGTAGCTGTCCAATCTTTCCTTGAACACCCTTACTGACAGGGCCTCAAACACCTCCCTTGGAAGCCCATTCCACATCCCGGGGACCTAACTGTCAGGAAGTAGTTCCTGACATCCAACCTGAAGCCTGTCTCCTTGAGCTTTGCCCCATTGGAATGTGTCCTACCCTCCACTGCCAGAAAGAACAGGTCATGACCCTCATCCACCTGACATCCTCTGACGTACCTACAAGTCTCTAAAAGATCCCCTCGGAGTCTCTGCCAGGCTGAAAAGACCCAGTTTCCTCAATCTCTCCTCATATGTCATTCCTCCCAACCTGGCTACCATTCTTGTGACCCTGTGCTGAACCGATTCTAACCTAGCTATGTCTGTCCTCTAATGTGGAGCTCAGAACTGGATGGAGTACTCCAGTTGTGGGTGCAACAGAGGCATGCAGAGCGGTAACACCTCCCTAGATCTGGAAGCCATGCTTCTGACTATACATCTAAGGGTGGCGTTTGCCACAAGTGCCACGTCACATTACTGGCTCATGTTCAGCCTGCTGTCGACAAATAAATTATATCAAATTATCCTGCTCCTGCCTTCCCTTTGCCCCTATAGGTAAGATAATGCATAGCTGATTCTATTAACTTATGAAAATGTATACTTTTATCATATAGATGTTGCAGTTCTCAAGCGTATACCAATCCTATTTGCATAAATGAGAAAGGAGCCCCAATTTTGAAGACATTTATTCACTGGATGAATTTGCATGCCATGCTAAATCACCCTGAAAAGCTATGATAGGTGGGTGGCTTGGTCATTACTCCGAACAAATTATAGTTTGTGTGCTGACTTGCTGTTGCTTGTTACTCCTTTGGTCCTCTTTGCCAGTGTTGGCACATACCCCAAGGGCCAGTGTTGCAGAATTTTCTCATTCCTTACCTCAGCATTGTTTTTGCAATTAATCTGCTGTATTTGCCAGCTCATGGGGAACCCATCCCCCATTCTGCATATCAGAATTCCGAAAGGCTTTTAAGTTTCTGAGTTCTTATGAACATGGGAGCAAGTTTGCCCTTAAAAAGAAAATATTTTAGGGGACTTGGATATATATGCAGAATCACAATACTTCCTGCCTACTAAGAAGCCAAACATACCCGTATCTCCCCTCTTGTTAATGGCTTTGTCACTGTCATTTTCCATGGAGCTTCCCTTGCTAGCAAGCACTTTTTTTCTTTAAGGCTGCTGCAAGTTCTCCTTCCTCCATTAGTCTCCATTGCCATCCTTCATACTGTGGCTCTCCTCCGCTAGTTTCCATTGCCAATTGTCATACAAGCATGGGTTACAGAGCAGTGAGCAGGACTGCGATATTTGAGGGCAGAACAATAATGTGCAAAATTCCTAAGAGGAGACATTCACTCCTGCACACTTGCATTGGACTCACCCTCCCCCCACCCCCTGCACTTGTGAGATAGTACTCCAGCCATTCTGTACAAGTCGTCATGAAATTGCCCCGCCAGGTTTAAATATGACAAGTGACCCTGAGAACAAACCACACTAAATAACTGCAGAATGCCAAATGTTCTCAGGGTGGCTTCTGCATGAAAAACAACTCATGATGGAAAAACAGCTCCAGGTTTGGACATCACACACACTAAGCCATTCTACAAGCACCCATTATAATGACTCACCATGGCTTAGTGTGACATGTGTACCAAGTTACTGGCTTTTGTATGCTTTTTGTTTGCACATCTGTGTAACAAGGACACCCCATTTTGACCTAATTTGCTGCTACTAACAGATGCATCATAAATCCCACACCTTTTCAGTCACCTCAGAGGGCCACTTTTTAATAGTTTATCATGAACTTGTCTGCTTTTTCTAAAGCAAATCTGACCTGTCATTGCTGATGTATCTATTTCAAAGAAATTTATAATTCTGGGGTATATAGTTTCTACACTTGGACAAACTGGTCTCTCTGCTCCTGCAGGACACTCTTTATGTTCCTTAAAGGTAAGTGCCACCACCTATATAACTTTCATCCATATATTCCGTCTTTCTGATGGAATAGTAATATTAAATCACTCATCACATACTGAATAGTAATATTTTACTGGATACGGGGGAATCCAGTCTAAGCATTTTTATAAATGGAGAAAGATGGTCCCTTGTTTTATAACTCCCATTTGAACTTCTTTCGAACCTGGTTAGCATGTTTGTCAAGTAGTTCCTCACATGAGTCAGGAAGTTCAAATCAATTCTAGTTTCTAATTCAATACACTTATTAAAGGATCAAGCAGAGAGAAAGTGAGTGAGTAGCTTTTCAGTTAAGCTGAAACATCAAATTGGTTCACCAACAATCCCAGGAACTTAAGAATAGCTCAGCAAATGTTCTTTAACATTGGGGCAGAAGGATGAGCCACATGGGCTGGAACCTTTGGTCAGGCTGCAACCTCCTTGGAGACACAAAATATCTTGATGACCTGGAATGTTTCTATGGGTCTGATCAGTTTCCAGAAAGGAAAGTTCAAACTGATATATCAATAACCTGAGGGACTGTGCTCATGCCTCCTCCAGGTGATCTCTACAAGCCTGTGTTACACAAGCTGAGGCCTGCAGAGAGAGAGTCAGCCTAGAACGTAGAGGTGTAGATGTACAGATTTGTCACAGTGTTTCCAGGCCCTTGTTCTTTGTTCAAAAGAGGAAAGAGTGGGAAAGAGTAGATAAGGTTTGGTTCATCATGAATACATCTTTTTAGTTAACAACTCTGAGACTAGACTAAATTCCTTATAACATATTGACAGACTTTAAATCCCCAAGTGAAACAGTACTTGGATCATATATAATATTCCAGGTCATTATATTTGTATTGTTATTCCTGAATTCTTAATACCTTAAAAGTAAAGATGGCCACTGCCCAAGGGCATATACAATCA